AAAAAGTAGCGGTCCTAAGTTTGATCCTTGGGGAATGCCGGAAGTCGGAGTGTAAAAATCGGAGATAAAGTTTCGATACCTAACATACTGTTTTCTGTTCAGCAAGTACGACGTAAACAGTGAAACAAGGGAGTCAGAAAACCCATAAATTTTTAGCTTCGTTAGTAAAATATGATTATCCACCTGATCAAAGGCTTTCTGAAAGTCTAAATATACCGTATCAACTTGACTACCACTGTCCATTACCTCGGCCACGAATTGATTAAAACAAGCCAAATTAGTTACTGTTGATCTTTTTCTCATAAAACCGTGCTGTTCAGAAGAAATAGGATTTATACGTTGACAAAGTATTGTGTCAAAGATTTTACCAAAATTGCAAATTAGAGTAATGGGTTGGTAATTTTTTACATGTTTTACATGTTTTAATATATGTACACTTCTTTTCATAACATGAAACTTGAAAAATGTTTCAAATAGAAAATTTGTATAAGAAAATATCAATTTTGCAAATAGGCTCCGCCCTATAATTGCAAAATCCATATTTCCTTGGAAAAACGATTTTAATCATGTTTTAGGTTTCTTGTTATGAAAAGATGGGTAGTGTATTAAGAAAAAAGGCAAAATGAAACCAGCCCCCATCCGCCCTATCTTGATTCTGATAATTTTTTTTATTCGTCGTGAGCCAAGAGGACGGAACTTAACTGCAAAATCCTTAGTTCTCTACAAGAAATTAAAAACATGCTTTTGAGTATCGTGTTGTTCAAAGAATACTATGTAGATTAGGAAAAAAATAAAGCCAAAGATTAAGCCCCACCCATACCTGCCCTGATCTAAATAGTAATGTAGTTTTCATTCATTGGCAGACCTATGAGCGGAGCTTAATTGCAAAATCCAAATTTCCTTAGAGAAATTTACAATTCTAAACGTGTTTTACGTTTCTAAGAATTAAAAAAAAAACGTCATAATTGAGGTGGGGTGGGTGGGCGGGGTTTATATTTTGCCTTTCTTTCTTAATATACATAGTATTCTTTGAACAACGCGATACTCATTTTTAATTTCCTGTAAAGAAATAAGTACATACTTTGCAGTTAAGCTTCGTCCTCTTGATTCACGGCGAATAAAAAAAATCATCACAATTGAGACAAGACGGGTGCTTTTATACGTGTAGACTTCTGTTCATAGCTCCGCCCTATAATTGCAAAATCCATGTTTCCTTGCAAACTTTAATCAAATATCGCTATGTACACTCGATCCCAAAATTAACCGGACACACCTCATCAACGTTTTAAAATGTTCTACAAAGTGCAGTCTTACAGTACTTGTTAGAGATGTACCGACTGTAGGTCTGGCCGACTAACCGACTAGCCGATTGTTCGGCCAGTAAAAACCGACTAGTCGGCCGACTGGTCGGCTTTGCTAAAACCGGTTTATAAATGCGACAGACAGTGTGTTTTTTTTCTATTTGTCTGATTACCTTAAAAATTTGTTTTATTTTAATAAAAGTAATAACTAAAGTTCCTTTGTTTTCCGAAAAATGTGTTAAATTTGTTTGGATAATTTTAACATTTATTTTTTTTTAGTAACTCACTACAAAACTAAAGAATAACACAATTTAGGGCCAGTTTATACAATATTTTAACTGAGATTAAGTTGATCGCGCATTTAGCAAGGCCATTAGCGAGGTCTGATTGGCGAAGAGTCGGTCACATGGTACTTTAACGCTGGGTTAATAATGAAATCGCAATTAAATATATAATTGAGGTTCTGTAAACCGGGTTTAATTGTTTTATATACTATTTTAATTTTAATAAAAAAAGCCGACCGATCGGCTGTTTAGCCGACCAGTCGCCGACTGCAGCCGACGATGAAAAACGACCGAATAGTCGGCTTACCCGACCGGTCGGCCACTAGTCGGTACATCCCTAGTATTTGTATACAGGGTTAGTCACGAGAAAATTATTTCTGAAAATTATTTTTACGCAACCCAAAATACTAATACCCCGTACCACTTGATACTATCTGAATTTAAAATGAAATGCTTAATCCATGATTGCTTTGACTTTGGCAGTGTCCGTTTGACGTTAGTTAATTTTTAACATTTTTCTTCATCGTTTACTCCGCTCTGCAACCCCATTGGATCGACGTACCTCTCTCAACCTGCGCTCTTCTGAAGCCGTAAGTACTCTAGCAATATTTTTTCCCCGCTAATGGGCATGTGTTAGTTCGCCATCTCTGCGTCAACTAGAGCCTCTTCGAAGTACAAATCTGTAGCCTCTGGGCCTCTTCGAGCACCCATTTACAAAAACGCCGTAGCATCAGTCTAACATGTCAACATTTTCTACAGTTGTTGCAGTAGTTAAATTATTTAATTACTCTTTCAAGTTTACGTTGTATCCTTTGAATAAAATATCGTAAAAGTAATTTTTAGAAATAATTCTCTCATAACTAATCCGTATCATTGCAAAAGCTCAAAAGGTAGTCGAACCAAGCTCTAACAAATTTATTAGCGGTGCCAGAGTAGTCTATCTCCGAGTGGCTACGGTACGACCATGGACACTCGCGTAACCTTCTTTCCGGAATTGTCAAAGTGACACTGCCAAAAATGCCAAAGTCAAAGCAATCATGGATTAAGCATTTCATTTTAAATTCAGTTAGTATCAAGTGGTACACGGTATTAGTATTTTGCGTTGCGTAAAAATAATTTTCACAAATAATTTTCTCGTGACTAACCCTGTATATATATATATACAAACTCTGCTCGTTTAATAGTATAAGATCATACTTTGCACAGTGCACATTTAAGACTTTTTCGGAAAAATTTTGGGGTGGCGTGATCAATATTTTAGGAGGGGGGATGAGCAAAAATATGTTGATCAAAGAGATGGCTATGATAACTTTAAAACATCCCCAAGATTTCAAAGCATTTGGTTTTTTAATTAATGATTGAATCAATAAAATATATTCACGCATTCATTTTATTTTCAGTCACCGTGTATATGCAAATCCAAAAAATATGAATGGTATGATAAATTACAAGTGCAGACTCATCATATTTTCTACATTTTAGATAGGATTTATTCGGCAAACTTTTGATGTGACGTCATCAATTTTTTGGAGGGGACATGTAAATATATTTTGAATAAAAACTTATAATCCTTACCATAACTGCAAAACCATCTGCAAGATTTCAAAGCATTCGGTTTTGCAGATTCTAAATTAAATGTCAAAATGTTGTTTCCCAATTTTGATTGTTTTTCCAAAAATCTGGACGTTCCGGGTAAAATCTCAATTTGGAGTCATAAACTACATGTGTATGATTATGTTATTTGATAGAATTTAAATCCCATTTACTATGTACAATTTTGAAGTGACGTCATCACATTAGTGGTGGGGATGATTAGACAAATTTTGGTTAGCATTTTACCATCTACATGATATACCTAATATAAATAGAAAATGTGACAACAATCGGTCCAGAACTTTCCGAGATTATCTGTCTAATGAAAATCCGGGACGGTAGACCGACGGACAGACAGACGGACAAACAGACGGACAGACGGAAAAACAGACGGACAGACGGACAGACAGACGGAAACAGGAGACCTATTTCTTCATCCTCCAGGGGATGATAGGTCGAGAAAATGCAAAAGTAGCGATTCTGCCGATGGGCTCTATTACAATACTTCCTTTGCTTACAGTGGGGAAGTACATGGACGAAAAATACAAAAGGGACCAAAAAGAACGAAAAGGACGAAAAATACGAAAAGGACGAGAAGTACGAAAAGGACGAAAAGGACGAAAAGGATGAAAAAGGACGAAAAGGACAAAAAAGGACGAAAAATACGAAAAGGGCGAAAAAGGTCGAAAAGGACGAAAAATACGAAAAGGACGAAAAACACAAAAAGTACGTAGAAGGACGAAAAAGACAAATTGCTTGGATTCTTAGTGCGCCAGTGTAAACAGTTTCGCAATCCTCAAACGATGGTTAGGTTATATTGGTCAATAGTGAGATCCGTAATGGAGTACGGAACTCTAATCTGGTCACCTCATCAGGTTGGTAGTATTGTTAGATTAGAAAATATCCAAAAGCGTTTTCTTAAATTCCTCTACTTCAAATGTAATATTAGATTCAGTAGTACTAATTACGACGATTTGTTGTCCTATTTTGGTTTATCCTACTTAAACGTCCGGCGGAATTATTTTGACTTATGTTTTGTTTTTAGACTTTTAAATGGTTTTTGTAAATGTCCTAATTTGTTATCCATGTTTTCTATTCAATGTAAGAGTCACAATCTCAGACAGCCCGCTTTATTGTACATACCATACCATAGAACAAATTATGGTAAATATAATGTTCTATCTGGGCTCTGTTTACTTGTGAATAACTACTGCAATAAAGTTGATGTTTTTGGTAGCACCCTAAACAAATTTAAACGTGATGTTAAAACTACACTTAGTATATAAGTTTTCATGTAATTGTATTCAGGGAAATTCGGTCAATAAAGCATTATTATTATTACTATAAAAAGAACGAAAAAGGACGAAAATAACGAAAAACGACGAAAAATACAACAAGCACGAAAAATACAAAAAGGACGAAAAAGGCTTAAAAGACGAATGATACGAAAAGATCGAGAAAGGACGAAAAAGGACGAACAAGTACAAAAAATACGAAAAGGACGAAAAATATGAAACGGACGAACAAGGACGAAAAAGGACGATAAGGGCGAAAAAAACGAAGAGGGCGAATGATACGACGAAGCACGGAAAAAGAAGAAAAGGACGAAAAAGGACGAAAGAGGACGAAAATACGAAAATCACGAAAAAGACGAAGAGGGACGAAAAGGACGAAAAAGCACGAAAAAGACGAAAAAGGACGAAAAACACGAAAATGACGAAAAGGACGAAAAAGGACAAAAATACGCAAAGGACGAAAATGACGAAAAATGCGAAAAGGACGAAAATGACGAAAAAGGACAAAAAGGACGAAAAATACGAAAATGACGAAAAAAACAACGCTGTGGGATGAACTAAACGCCGAGTTAAAGCGCCTAAAACAACGCTTATGGCATACCATGAAAGGCGTTGGTAACTTAAGACATCAAGACGATAGCCCTGGAAGTCGGAATCCGCCAAAGAGTGTGTAGCAACTCACCTGCCGAAGTTACTAGCCCATCAATTTCCGGGTTAGCAATAATCGGCAGTCAGCGGCATGTGCGGTCTGGTGGCCTCTGGTCACGGGCCATGAAGCCCTGACGAGTAGGAGGGTCGCGGCGGTGAGCGCAGAAGGACTGGCCGTGAAGCCGTCTGGAGCCGCCGTCGGTGCAGATGTTGGTGATAGTAGCAAATACTCCAGCGAGGCCGTGGAGAACTGACGTGGAGAAGAGTTTCGTGTGAACAGCCGTTGCACACGAGTCAGTCGATCCTAAGCCCTAGGCGAAAGCCGATGTCGATGTGGTGTAGATTTGTCGTTGGTCACAAACACGACCTCCAGAGCCGTGGTGACGTGAACGTACGGATTGTGCACACACCCGTTGGGCGAAAGGGAATCCGGTTCCTATTCCGGAACCCGGCAGCAAGAGAGTTCGTCGGGGCAACCCAAAAGGACCCGGAGACGCCGTCGGGAGATCCGGGAAGAGTTTTCTTTTCTGCATGAGCGTTCGAGTTCCATGGAATCCTCTAGCAGGGAGATATGGTTTGGAACGCGAAGAGCACCGCAGTTGCGGCGGTGTCCGGATGTTCCCCTCGGACCTTAAAAATCCGGGAGAGGACCACGTGGAGGCGTCGCGCCGGTTCGTACCCAAATCCCCAGCAGGTCTGCAAAATGAAGAGCCTCTAGCCGATAGAATAATGTAGGTAAGGGAAGTCGGCAAATTGGATCCGTCACTTCGGGATAAGGATCGGCTCTGAGTATCGGGGCGTGTCGGGCTTGACGGGGAAGCGGGTCGCGGCTGACGTGCCGGGCCTGGGCGAGGTGAAGCGTTGCCGTTTCAGCGGCGACGTCGGAACCGAGCCCGGTCCCGTGCCTTGGCCTCCCGTCTTGCTGCGAGGCTCCGGGTGCGCCCGAAAGGGCGTCCGGATGTCCTCTTCGGCCGCCATTCAACGGTCAGCGATGGCCCCAGCGGGTGTTGACGCAATGTGATTTCTGCCCAGTGCTCTGAATGTCAACGTGAAGAAATTCAAGCAAGCGCGGGTAAACGACGGGAGTAACTATGACCCTTCCAGTAGTAGTGGCAAGCGTGCAGACGTGTTTCGCATCGGCTCCGTGACTGCAAATAGTGAAATTCTGTGCGAAAGGTCCAATCGGCACAAATTTGGTGTCAATCGAAGCGGCTTCATGAGACGAGCCTAAAGGTAAACATCGTTCGAAAATCCGTTCGGTGGGGCCGGAGTTACAGTATTTTGAATGCTGCAGAGCACGAGCACGGTTTTGTAGAAATTAATAAAGTCCCCATTTCCCGTTTGATCCCGGCTTGTGGGATGTCGTTGGAAGCGGCCTGCGGAGAGGAACCCGGTGGTGCCCTCCGATTCGAAATCGGCTTGGCCGTTTTCGAAATATCGAATTTTAAATATCCTGAGTTCGGGAAAAACTTACTGATAATTGTTATCTCCATCTTTTTACATTTTAATCTCTCGATAGGGGACTTAGAATAATTCGTGCGGTGTTCAGGTATATTTTATTTAATAATTGATCAACACAATTTTGACATCGTACATAATAGTATAATCGGTGGTTGGAGACGTTCGGGAGGTTCCTCAGGAACTTTATCGGGTAGAGCTGCCAGCGAAATTTCGTTACACCTGCAATGAATTTTTTTTTTATTTTTAACATCTTTTCGAATTTTTAAGACAATCCGATTTACCTAAGGTTATCACACTCTGTATTTTGATCGCGAACTCCTATTGGCGTTAAGCCCATCAAATATCTCGTAGTTTGATGACGAATAGGGACCTGAGGCTGTTGTTCAAATATTCACATTGTTCCTCGATTTTTATTTTATTCCATTACGCTGTCCATCTTGCGAATTTACCTACTCGAGCCTGCATCAATACGAAATATTAAGTGGATCATTCAATTATTAATTTAACATCTTATTATTATTATAATTATTATCTACTTATTATATATACATTCTAATTAATTGAGGTCTGTTTATTTTTATTTATCTTATTACAAGATCCGCATTCTTAATATCTTAATATCTTAATATTTCCTATTTATTATCTCCGCATTTTCTATCTTAATTAATCGAGGTATATTATTCTTATTTATCTTATTATAACATCCGTATTATTTTATATCTCGATATTTTTCTTAATTTAATCATCTTAATTTTTTTTTAATCCTTATTTACATCCATATTAGCCCCCCCCCCCCCCCCCCCCCCCCCCGCCTTCTGCCTCTACCAACTCTATATTTTTCTATATGTGCAACATCCATATTAATAACACCTTAATTTCATATTGAACTTGTTCTTCATTGCACATATCATTTAATGTTATTTTATTTTCTGGAAGAGTCTCTTATGTGTTATGACGTGGCAGTTTTGCCTGTAGTATCTGTATCGTCTTGTATTTTACTGATCTTTATTTATACATTTCTGTTCTGGACACAGACCCCTATTGGTCTCTCTCTATTACATTTATTGACGCCCTCCCCTCTTTTTCTCTTTTTTTCAATTCTTATTATTATTACTGTGATGTCCTCTCTAATAGTCCAGACGGTGGTTGGTTAATAACACCACTACATATTTATTATCCATTTATTTACCCTTATTACCACTACAAATCCAGACTTAACACTTCCTTGTTTTAGCTATTACTTACACTTTTATACACTATTGATGACCTAGTTCCTTGTAATGGACAAGCATTTGCTGACTAACGAATTCAAACTTACTCATTCCATTACACCTCCCCCGGTCGGGAGAAAAATTTTTTTTTCCCGTGTTTTCACGTTTCAAAAAAAAAAATTTTTCCTTACATTATTCATGATACTTCTTAACTCTATTCTTATGTAGTTCTATTAACTTATTACCTATATTAATTACAATATTTGGTGCTTTGTCTGCAACTACAGTATATGGTCCTTTATACACTGGTTCACTCTTATTTCCTACATAGATTTGAGTTCTCGTGTCTCGTGTGCGCGCTGTGCGCCATTTTAAGTTGAAGCAGTATGACTGCCAGAGAAACATTAATTGTAAATTTTCCGAATTCTGGAAATAACCAATTGCCCTGGTGCCTTGGATGTGTACCTGAAGAGGAGATAGACAACGCCAAGAACTTTTTTCTACGCTGGTGTTTCAAGGACGTAACAATAAAGGACGTCATACCCCTGAAACAAAATATCCAACCATCGTGTGTATGGCAGGTCTACTACAAATTGAAAGATCCAACTCCAGATTATGTGGAACCAGGTAAATGCGGCAAGGATTTCCCATTGCCGTTGCCGGACAACGACGACGAACTAAAGAAATTATTTACTAATATAACAGAAATGGTTTTTGGAATGAATGCAGCGCACAAAACCTACACATTTGATAAGGTGTATGCAATTGTGGGGTATGTTCCCAAATATTGCGTCTGTCCTGTTCAGAATTTTAATGAGCCTGCAAAGCTACCTCGTATGCAGGAGTCTATTACAGAGGTATCAAGGAATCTCTACGGAATGAAATTATAATTTTTTTAGTTTTTACTTACAATGTGAAATTAAATTGTTATTATATACAATAATGTGAATTAAGTTGATATCGAGGTTGAGAAATGTAATTGATGCAGGAGTCTATTACAGAGATATCAAGAAATCTCTACGGAATGAAATTATAATTTTTTTAGTTTTTACTTATAATGTGAAATTAAATTGTTATTATATACAATAATGTGAATTAAGTTAATAGCGAGGTTGAGAAATGTAACTGATTTAGAATAAAATAAAAGTACTATAAAAGTACATTGTTTCGTAATATAATTTTCGAACCAGTTGGATATCTTACAACTATCGCCAAAAGTTCTTTTTCTGTGACGTCCTTATTACGGCCAGGCTAGCTCCTTCGTCGTTGCGGGGTGATGGGTCGATCAACTGTCTTTGCCTTGCGCGGCAGTGTGCCTCAAGAGGGCACACAGAAAAAAAATGCCAGGAAAGCCGAAGAAGAGAAAGAAAGAAGAGTCGAATAAGTAGAATAAAGAGAAGAAAAGGAAGGAAAGGGAAAAGAAAGGGAGAAGCAACGAATACCCGGTCTAATCACATATATAATGAGGATTTGTATGTACAAAAAATGAATATAAATTGGGGGGGGGGCGGCGGCAGCTCGTTGGTAGGTCAATTGATGACCCTGGTGAACCGGCGACCCGTGACGATTTAAGGCAAAAAAACTGGCACAACGCAAACTGGGACGCACCCGGTTTCTCCCAGACGATCGGCGCGCACTTCCGGGCGACTTACCGTATTGGTACCAATACGCAGAACGCCGGTTCCCGTCGCCGCGGTCCTGTGCCTCTCCTGGACTCCGTTGGCCTCTGGTGTTCTCGCCTCAGCCCTTTTCTCGTCTTCCAAACACAGTCCCTCTTCCCCGAAGTCTCGACCTCGGCCCTCGTCGTCTTCACCCAACACTCGCCTCTCTCTCTCCTTTTTTTTTTCTTTCGCCTCGTCGTTCGTCGCTCCCGCCGAGCTGCGCCGCCGCGTAAATGTCACGTTACAGTACAGTCATTTTTTTCTCCTTTATTGAGCGTTCTACTGGCATATGCTACAGGTTTGTCATTTGCATTTGTTAATACTGCACCTGTCGCTGAACCCGATGCGTCTGTTTTTAAATTAAAAGTAATTTCCTTTAAAAAATTTGGATATTCTAAAATTGGTGGGTTCATCAAACTGTTTTTTAATGTTTCAAAAGCTTTCTGACAGTCATCGTTCCATTCGAACTTTACACCTTTCTTTGCTAACCTATTTAACGGAACTGCTATGTATGCAATATTTTTTATGTATCGTCGATAATAATTCGCAAAAGCTACAAATCTTTTCGTTTCGTTCGCATCCTTTGGTACCGGATAATTTTGAAACACGAATTTTTTCGGGATCCGGGAAAATTCCGGTTGCTGAGGGGTCCGTTAACTTGGCACCACCAAGTTAATGAATTTTACTCAAAAGCTAGCACCTCGTTGTTCTAACCTAGCACCAGCTAGCACCACCAATCAAAAAGCTAGCACCACCTAATTATTGAAATAAAAGCCTTTTACTTTCGGGGGGGGGCAAGTTAACGCTAGCCCCCCGACATTATTTAATTCTCATGAAAAGTTGGTCCGAGGTAGTTTAGACCTAGCACCAGCTAGCACCACTAGTCTCATAGCTAGCACCACTCTGCAA